CTACCCCACCCTCTATTCAACTAATTGTACACTTGGCCTCCCCACCATGGACCCAGTTACTTCCTGGGAACCACTCAATGGCTCCTGGCCCCTAAATAACTCTCTATGCTTCACTACCAACAACACATCCTCATGCATTGGGCTGTTCAACCTGACTGTCCAAGATTATGCTGGCAGTGCTTCTAATCTAAAAGCACTGTTTGACCCATCTTGGATCATCACTTACCTACTCCTGACAGGCATAATTATTCTTCTCTTTCTACTTCTTAAATGCCTTGTTCTTCGTTCCTGCAGTCAGAAAAAATTCAATCACTAGGTGTATCAGGCCCTCAGAGCAATACACGAAGATGATTTCAATTCGCCCTATGCAGCCTGACAGACTTGGCTTGCACAAATGTACGAGGCCTCCTATGGATAATTCCTCACCTCTACTGATCCCAGGGGATGATATCCCTTGGAGGGCTGCTAGTCAATGATGGGTAAGCTCCTGTTGGGCTGAGTCAACCTAAGCCAGGACCGGGATGTGTATGCCCATGCTCCAATGATGGGTAAGGTTCATGCCAGAATAGGACAACCTAAGACAGGCACAGTCCATGATCCTAGGGTCATCCCCAGGCAGAGCTGCCTACAGGCTCTCGCTGGACAGTCATTTTTAAAGAAGAATGGTGTAAATGTAGCAGGAGGCCTCCAAAGATGGTGCAGACCCAGAGCCCTGGGATTCAGCGAGAATTCACTTCACTTCTTGGTCCACAAATAGCCCACCAAAAGGAGCCCACGCCTCCATACCCTGCTCCTGCACCCAGTGACTGCTAACAGACTGCGTGGCATGGACCAGTCAGAAAATGATATGCTGACTAAAGGGACTTGGGGGCGGAGAAAAGAGAAATATAAGGCCTGCCCCTTCCTGCATTAAAGGAGCCTGCAGCACTTCGCCTAGTGCTTGCTTCTACCCGACTCCTGGGGTCTGTGTGTTGTGACTCCATGCCTCTTGCCCTCTCCCAATCAGCAAGGGCCCAATCCAGGTTAGGGTCTTCACAGCTGGCCTGAGGAGAACCTGCAACAATACAATAGTGTCACAAATATCACTGGAGTAACCAAATTCTCTCTAATTACATTTAAGGCCCACCTCATAGGATGGAGCCCATACCTCACCTTGAGATCAGGCTTGGGAACTTGAGGCTATACCAATCACAGTGATGTATACACAGGAATACCATTTTATAATTTTTTTCTTTTTTATATTTTCTTTATTATTTTTATTTTTTATGTGTATGTGCATATTGCCTGCATGTAGGTAAGTACACCTATGTTAATGCCCACAGAGGACAGAAGGGTCTGTCGGATCCCTTGGAACTGGAGTTACAGACAGTTGTTCATTGCCATGTGGGTGCTGGGATTCGAACCCTGGTCTTCTGCAAGAACAGTCAGTGATCTTAATCACTGAGCCATCTCTCCAGCCCTGTCTACACCATTTATTGAATATAGTATGTTATGTATTACTGCTGTTCTTAACTGAACTCCATGATTTATTTTTATAGTGACATTTTGCCTGAGTGTCTCCTGTTCATTGAAAGTTTCCACATAGAATTACACATAGATTTTATTCTATTATAAGGTATTAAATTCTGTCATTGGCATGAATAGGAATGCAACTAGATATTTTCACATTAAGCAAATTGATTCAGACTCAGACAAATATCACATTTTTGGAATATAGCTTTTTTACATAAAAATAGAAAATCAAATACAAGTCATTAAAGTTGGAACAAAATTGAGGTGGGTGGGGTATGGGATAATGTCAATGTGCATTATATACTTTTAAAAAGATTTATTTATTATTTTTATTTTTATGTGTATGCCTGTATTGTCTGCATGTAGGTAAGTGCACACATGTCATGCAATGCCTGTGGAGCACAGAAGAGGCTATTGGATCCTCTGGAACTGGAGTTACAGACAGTTGTTAGCTGCCATGTGGGTGCTGGGATTTGAACCCGGGTCTTCTGCAAGAACAACCAGTGTTCTTAACCAATATATACTTTTATGAAAATGTCCCAGTGAAACACATTAAAATGAGTATATATCAAATAAAATTAAATCAATATTTTGTACACTTGGTAGAAACTGAAACTTTAGTAGACCCCAGGCCACTCAAAATCCCAATTTGAAAGGGGGAATTGGTTATGAAGTCCAATCCCTATCTCAGGAATTTTGGCAGCTGGGAGCATCTCAGAGAAAGAGAGTCTGTTTTCATTTCTCTCCTTTCCATTTTGGATTTATTTTATTTTTAGTGTATGTGCATGAGTATTTTGGATCCTTGTATGAATGCAATGCCTATTAATGTCAGAAGTGGATGTCAAAGCCTCTGGAACTTGAGTTACTAGCAGGTTAGTTGCCATATGGGTACTGGGAACTTTACCCTGGTCCTTGGCAAGAACATCCAGTGCTCATAACTGTTTAGCCATCTCTTCAATCCCAGAGTCAGTTTTCTTTAATGTATGAAGGATGACCAAACTCCATGGGATGTACTCACATCCAAGAATATTTGGATAATTCAAATTAGACCTGATAGGCCTTTAAAATTAATTGTCAATGTATAACATAATGGAAGATACCATTAATCCTAGCACTTAGGTAGCAGAAGCAGGCATATCTCTGTGAGACTGATGTAATCTGGTTTATTTAGTAAGTTCCAGGTCAACTGGGGATACTGGGAATTTGTGTCTCAAAAAACAAACAAGCAAACAAACAAACAAAAAAAACCAACCATAAAAAACAAACAAACAAAACATAAAATAATACCAATAATAATAATAATCAATAATAATAGTGATCCAAAAGATATGAAGTGAGTAGATAGGAGGAGAGGATATATCAGAGAGAGGGGTCTGAATGATCGAAATACATTGTATGAAATTCTCAAAGAATCAATGAAAGAAAACTCCTAGAGCCCAATAACTCAATTTTCTTTCTTTACTGTGTGTTACATAGAAAAATTTAGAAATACTGAAATAGTCAATGTATCCTAATATCTATATAGTATTTCAGATTAAAAGTGGTATTATTAGTCAGTCATATAGTTTTGTGACAATAATATTATAATTGAAAATTTGTCAAAAATTGATTGAAATAGAGTAAAATAAATAAAAGTCATAAATAATGAATTGCTGATCTTGGGTTGAATCTATACTGTAAGACTATAAATGCTCATTTGTGATTACAAATTGTTTGGTTTCTTCTATGGCAGAAATTTTAGGAGCTGCCACTAGGGCTTGAAAGGCAGAATATTCACTAGTCTGTCACTGCCTCTTGTTATGCAATGTGGATAAAACATATGGGGGTAGTTGAAGACTCTTGAAGAATAATTGGAGAAAATAAAAGTGCTGTTTTCTTAATCCCAAATTTAACCCACCTATCTTGATTCAGGGTTGTTTCAGTGCTCTATTTCCCACATGAACACCCTTGCCTTGCTTTTCTGCCCATAAGCTGACACAGGTCAGAGAAGCAGCCAGCACACACGAATACTGTTTGTGCATGGCCGATGACTGTGGTAATTTCAGAGCAGCCTTGGCACTGCACATCCATAAAGTAGGAATTGGGGTTCTACAGTAGGCACTACTTTTGCTTCCTCTTCTCTTCTGGAGAGGGATAAAAGGGACAGTTTTGAGCGGTATGATCTCCTACAGAGGCACCAATGTCCAAAAGGCAAATGTGCTGTGATTTTAAGTACTATAGCATTCGTGATTCATTTTTATTTCCTGTGAACACCTAGAAACCGATAAGTGTGTACCATGGTACAGAGAGAGCTCAAAGTAAAGTCCTGTAGATCTAGTCTGAGTGTTCAACTCAGAGAGTGCAGATTTCCTCTCCTTGCCCCCCTTTTTTCCTCCAACCTCTAAAATTCCAATCCTCTGGTCTTCCAGTTGTCATGGAGACAGGGGCTCACACACCAGTATGTATAGAAAAGTCAACAGCACAGAAGGACAGTAGGAAAACGGGAAACTTTCACCACTTGGAGGAGTTGTAGGTCCACCAGAGTGGGCCAACTCTCCTTGCTTTTTTCCCCTTTGTTCTTTTTGAGGTAGGGCCTCCCTCTTGCCCCAGCAGTCCAGAAACCCATCCTCCTTGTTTTTGTTGTTATTGCTGCTGCTGGATATTGAACCCAGGACTGCTCTTTGCCATTGTAAATCATGCATTCTATGATGGAAATGTACCCTCAGGCCCTTAATTGTTTTTATTTTTTGTCTTTCTGTTCTCTGCCCAACTCTGCTAGATATAATGAACATCTTTGCTAGAGGAATTAAAAGGAGAGTCCAATGAAAAGAAAACACTGGAAACTTGTGGAAAGTGGGAGTTTTGTAAACAGACCTGCATAACTATAAAATCAAATACTCTACTCCTCTTTCTAAAAAGCTCCATGAGGATCTCATCCTAATTACCTTACCAAACTGGGTATTGTTAAAGCCAGAGATTAACTAATATTGGAGTCATAGGTGATCATACTTTCTGGCTGTAATCAATTGGACTGTGGCAGTGCAGCATAAAGACATCCACAGACAATACATGAATGAATGGATGGTTGTGGCTGTGTTCAGTAAAAATTATGTCTATACTGTTAATGAAATCTCTTTTTAGTAAGAGCCCTGCTAATCAATGTGAAGAATTCCCCACCTCTGCTGGCTTCTCATCCTCCTCCATCCCCTCCTTTGATGATTAGGTTTCTCTGCCTCCTCCTCTCTTCCTGGTGTTGTCAGAGAGTGATCACTCTGCTATCTGGTGTGCCCCTCTTTGGTATCAGACTAGTCTAACATGGACTGCAAGAAAAAAATCCCAGGAATCTCATGCTTATGTAACGGAAAGGCTAAAATCCTGGTGCTAGCCAGAAGTGGAACTGGGACTCCAGCAAGAAACTTCACACAGTTCCTACAACTTCCCTCTCTGTCTTGCAGGTCAGAATAAGGCTAAACAAGGCTGGGTTAATAATGGGTGGAACCACACCTTGACCAGGATTGTTTATTGATATATACCTACTGACTTCTACATAGAACTAAACTTTATGTCAGCACCCTGAAGATGGACTTGTGAAACTCTGGAATCCCTTTGTTCCTCTTCCAAATGCAGTTCCACTAAGTAAATGTTGGTAGTATATTTTTAAGTAGGAAGTGGAGTATCCGTTATAATTCCATATTTCTATTTTATTTACTTTTGTTACAATTGGCACGTATACTCCTTTCAGAAACTTAGAATAGCCAATATTTCTAAAATGTATAAATTATTTCAGAAAATTATAGTATGTTCAAATAATCTTTAGAGCGGACATTAATTGCTGGGAGCCAAAAGTTGCTTAAGTCAGATTACACTGAAACCACCTCAGGTTGCATCATTTAGATAAGCAACCATCTCTCAGAAACCAGGTGGCCTCAATGCGGTTGAACAAACCTAGTAACCTTAGCAACACTTCCCCCTTTTACAAATTCCTTCATTCTTGAAATTTCCCCACCCCTACCTTCGCTTCCTCCTTTTAATTCTTATATAGCAAACAGAAAAATAAAATTTTCAGAGCTTGATCAGACCACCTGTCTTGCTCTCATTTCTCATGTCTCTTGTCCTTCCATTCATTGGTTCTCTCCTCACGTTCATGTTGAAGACCCCACTGGCTGGGGGCAACTGGCACCCAACGTGGCACTGGGGATACGAGGACCCTGATGAATGCCCTTTACTATGCACGGCCGTGACTCCCAGGACCACCACAGAGCCAGACGGTGCAAGTGAAGGTCTGCACAGTGAGGACCACAGAGCCACCCACCTGCGAGATCGCTCCATTGATAGAGGTAAGCAAGTGCGGTGCATTCATGGGACAAGCATTGAGTAAGCATGACTTATTCCTCCAAGGACTCAAGTAGTCCCTCAAGACACGGGGAACTAGGGTTAAGAAAAAAGATTTGTGTTTTTTTTAATTTTGTTGGAGAAATCTGCCCATGGTTCCCTCAAGAAGGAACTATTGATATAAAAAGATGGGGAAGGGTGGGTAATTGTCTTCAGGATTGTTATAGAGCC